TTCCGTTAATAAAGCGACCAATTTTGCATTGAATAATGTATTTAAATCCAAAGGTCTTTCAGGTAACTTGAGGTTTTCTCGGAATTTAGTTACTAACTTCTTGTGTTCTGAGGAAATTTGAAAATCGATAGAGACCTGTATCCCGGAAGTGGAAGGATTTACTACAATTTGGTTATTTGACATATTTACACTATTTATAAGTTTGAGATCCGAAGGATTACTAATTAGGCTTTTGTTAAGAATTAAAAAATAGATAAAGGCTGAATTTGATAGAGAAATTTTAGTAAAATCAGTGTTTGAGAAATCCGAAGGAATACATTTAGAGTTACAAAGTTCTGTTCTATAGTGTTTTTGATTGCAGATTGAAATGGAAGAGTTGACGAAATTCAATGCTGTAATTATTACGTGATTTCGTAATTTCGTGTAATGGGAATTTTCCGAAATCGAATTAATTGAATTACGTAATGGATTTTCATTATCCAAAGGATTGAGTGCATTATATATTTTTTTGGTAGTAGCAACTACAAATTCTTCGTCGTAATGTGATGAGGGAATTGCTTTACCCGAAGGAGTTCTTGAAATTAAGTCTGTAAAACCCATATCTTTTCCCGCTAAATGTTTGATAGTAAAATTGAATGGTAGGAGACGATCTACCAAACTTGTCAATCGGCTTTGGTATGTTTTGTTTCCGTGATTTGGTGACAAAGCGGAAAGGAGAGCTTTGTGGTCGGTGATAATTTCAAATTCAGAGCCGTAGAGATAATTTTTGTAATGTTCGACCGCCCATACGACTCCTAATAGCTCTAATTCGTTTGTTGAATATTTGGATTCATGGGGATTTGAAAATCTTGAAGCAAATGACACTGTTTTCCAAACCTTCTCATGAAGTTGTTCAAGAGATGCACCCAACCCATTATGTGAAGCATCTGTTTTTACTCTCGTGGGCTTTTTTACGTCGAAATGAGTGTTTTCAGTAAGATTTACTATTTCTGATTTAATCTTGACAAAAGCTTTTGAGTGATCTTCATTCCAAAGGAAAATTGACTTCTTGTTTAAAAGAGGTCTAAGCGGGCTTCCGAGGGATGCTAAATTTGGTACAAATTTAATGTACTGATTAGTTGACCCAAAGAATGATCTTAGTTCTTTTAGATTCTTTGGGATTGGAATATCTTTAATTGCTTTGGTTTTATCGAATAGTGGGGCGATTCCGGATTTCGATATTTTAAAACCGAGCCATTCGATTTCTTTTTGGAAGAATTTGCACTTCGACCATTTAACTGCGAAATTGTAAGTGTCTAACGTTGATAAAATTTTATAAACGATTTTCTTGTGATCGTTAAAACTTCCTTTGGAAGCGACTAATATGTCGTCGAGGTAACAATTTGTAAAAGGAATGTTTCCCAAAGTTGAGTCCATGACTCTCTGAAACTCGTTTGGCATATCGCCGAGTCCGTAAAAACCCGTTAAAAATTGATAAGTGCCTGTTATATCTCCGCCGACTAGACTAAAATTGCATTGGCTGCTAGTAAAATTGTCCAGCGCGAGTTGACTATATGCGTTCTTTAGGTCTAAGTTTGTAAACCATACTTCTCCGACGGAATTGTTTGAAATTTGAGCCGCTACGTTATCAACTAATTCGTGTATATTAGGCATCTGATATTTGTTCTTGTAGATTTGTTTGTTGATAAATTTTGAATCTAGGGCTAGCTTTATTGATTTGTCTTTTTTACAAGTAATAACTATCGGACTAATAAATCTGTCCTCGTCACAATTTTCTAATTTTTTGATGTGTCCTTCTGATTTAAGCCTGTATAATTCTGTTTTTACTGAATCCAGTAAGTGTAAAGGGACCCTCCTGCCTTTTAATTGAATTGGCTTTAATGGTTCATGAAAGTGTGTAATTTTTGTTTGATTTTTTATTTTTCCAATCCGAAGGAATAGTTGTTTGAAGGTTTTTTCAATCATTTCTATTTCATTATCTATGTCAAGTGAGGTAACTGAATTGATGGACTTACAGGTTCTCTTGTTGGTGAATGTTGCGTATTGTTTTTGTGAAACTTCGATTCCGACTTTTGGTAAATTGTCATTTCCCAAGATATTTCTTTCATGACCTTGAGTTAGGAAGAAGTGACATTCCTTGTGGGACCATCCATTTGAGAAAATTGGGACAATTACTTTTCCAGTGATATTTATTGCATTGTTCGTAAATCCACAATAGAGTTCCTTGGTAGCCTTATCCACTGGATATATTTTCACGTAGGGGTCTCGTAGTTTCAACTCGTGTAACACATTCTGTTTAAGGAAGCTTACAGGGCTTGCTGAATCCACCTGTATATTGAGAATTACTTGGTTTTCATTTCCTAAGCCGATATTTAGTAGTTTCTTCAGTTCCTTTCCTTGATCGTCGTAGATAGTTGTTACGTTTAATACAGAGTAATCATCGTTATCACTATGTCCAGACTCTGACCATGCGTTGATTACTCCACAGCATTCTCTATTAGCGTGGTCAATATGTACGTCTGGTTGTTCCGAAGGATAATGATGATCTGTATTATTTACAATTTGACTATCCACAATATTTACATTTTTACGGCGTGATTTACAGAGTCTAGTAAAATGTCCTCGATATTTACAAGTCGTGCATGTTGTATCTTTGGCAGGGCAAACCGCTAGATGTCCTTTTGTAAAATTTCCGCCGCATTTCATACATGTGTTATTTCTTTCAATGTTTAGGGGTTCTCTTTTTACATTAAAATGATTAAAAGGTTTGTTGGAAGAATATCCGCTGGATTTAAAAGTATTCGTCATCTTGATGTGGTTTGTAATTCCTTTTTCGTCAATCAGGGCCACGTTTAAGGCTTCTAGTGGTGGTAAGGTTTCCGTGAGGAGTTTCCGTTGGATATCTGAATTCTTCATGTTATTAATAAAAATATCTCTAATCCATTCATCTTCTCCTGTGGGAATGTTACATCGTTTTGCCATTTCTTCCAGTGCCCCCCAAAATTGTTCTAATGATTCTCTGTCCCTCTGTTTTCTGTTTAGGAGTTTGTGTCTTTCGAAGGTTATGTTTGTTTTTCTCACAAAAGCTGTGGACAAATTTTCCCAAAATTCTTTGAAAGAAATTTGTAGAACTTTGACTCTCGTGAACTTTTGGCCGAATATTTTCTTTCCTTCGTTTCCGAGGGCTAGATAAAGTATGAATCTTAGTTTTTTGTCCGCCTCTTCCAGTCTCATGCCGTTGAATTTCTTGGTTTCTGACTTTATTGAGGCCATTTCTTCATCATCGAATCTCTTTTGTTCTTGAATATTCCTCTCGATGCGTGATGTTTTTTGAGCGTCGGATTCGTATTCCGGCCGATTTTCCAATGTTGGGGGAGGTGGGTGATATCGTTCCGTTGGATTCAAAAGATTTTTGATGTCGATATTCTCTTTCGCGATTATTGCTAGCTGGAATAGATCGCTCCACTCTTCCCAAGGAATTGGTGGTCCACTGTGTGGTTTTGCCAAAATGAAGGTATACCTCTCACGTTTGATTCGACCCTGCTGGCTGCGCCATGATAAAATGTTCCTTTGTTACGGTTAATTCTACTTAGTTACAAATAAGATATGTTTAAAAAGTGAATTAATCTCTAAGTTAAAACATTAAAAAAGTGAACGGTCATTCTCTCCGTCGGAGAGAATGAAGATAACAAGGTCAATCAAGATTAACCAGTTAAGATACTTTAAAGTAATTAGTGAAATAAAACAAATGGTAAGAATCACAACAGGTAAGAATCACAACAAAATTAAAAAAAAACTTTCTGCAAAAAATCCAGAATGTTTTGTGATTTGTTTTTATTTTTAAAAAGTTCTGTTCATTTTTTGGAGAAAGGTGATGTTGGATATAAAAAACTAAGTTTTATTATCGAATTTGTCTAATTTCTATGCTTTGGTTCAGACCTTTCCTCTGACACAATTAAGATCGGACAACATTTTCAAAACAGCAGCGTTTTTAATGATTGATGTCGGAATCTTCTGTCCTGCTAGAACAGCAACAGGTTATCCTTTTTTGGTTTTCTTTGAGCTTTTTTCTACGCAAAATCAGGTATCACAAATATTTCTTATGATTCGAACGATATAGCATATTGAAGCTTTTTAAGTTGTGATTCGAACGGCATAAATAAATTTCAAAACTTTTTTTATCAGTGCTCAGAAAAACTGGTTTCAAAACTTTGCTTGTAACGTAATTTAGAACAAATAGAGCAAGCAATATGCCATTTTGATATTTAGGCTTTATTTTACTGTTATTTAGGCTATTAAAACTTCCATTATCCAAAGTAAATATAGTTAATTTAAAAAAAAAGAAAAATTTTTTTTCTCAAAATGTTGGATTTGCTATTAATTTTTGAAAGGCATTTTTAGTAATTGAAAGTCCATACTAATATTCTAAGAGTATTTTAAATTTTTCCTCCTAGACCGCGCACAAAAAAAAACAGCCTACTTAGGAAAAAGAAAAAAGAACTTTATAGAGTTTTTTGAATAACTGTGGTCGCAGCATTCTGAGCTAATTACACAGCAACTGCCTTCTTTTTGTTTAGAAAGATAGAGATTCGAGGATAACATTTGCGGCATTTAAAGGGAGGACAAGATAGCCTCGTTAACGCTCTTTTCGTCTTCGTTTTCTACTCGGATTGAACTCCATGCAACGAAAATGGTAGTCATGCAATTCCATATAATTTGACTACAAAAAGCTATAATAGATACAACTCTTATGAATGGTACTGCATGACAAGTTTTCTGCAATAACAAAACTATTGAATTGTATGACCATAATTAGGGTTTGTATGACTTAACTTTAGTTATACAATTCCCATACTAATGGTCATAAAATTCAATAAGTTTTTCATAGAAGAATGCGACTGAGCCATGATTTTTGAAAACCAGCATTTTCTTCCAAGAACAGTGAGACATTCTTAACTTATTGTGAATGTAAGTAGTGTTTGTGTTGCTGTTCTGTTCAGGCTACTCGTGCAAGATGTTGCAGAATGAGGATGAGATGGAGGTGTGTGTGATAGACAGTGATGACCCCTCTGTCATCACAGAAGAACTGCTCAGAATAGAACAACTCCTACTCGACAGGGACAGACAAGAGGTATACAACACACGCATTTTTTATAGCAGTCAATTTCGGGATAGACAGCAAATTAAAAACAATGTGGTTCCTGCGAATCGCAGAGGAGCTATCAGTAGGCTTTAACAGGCCTGTCGAAAGATAGTTCATTTGTATTATCTACCCACATTTCCGACTGTGTTATTGTGTTGAGCAAAGCTCTCTTTTGCAACTCAAAGCCGTTTTTTTGCGTCTGGAATTTAAAAAATATTTAAATGGAAAAGTAATTAAGCTAGGCGGGTAGAAAAATAACTGGCCTGAACTTTTGTTGTATTTTTGTATCGCGTTAATATTTGCAAACTAAGTTATAGCTATCTTTTTCAGGTGGGGCTTCAAGAATAGAGATTGATTATTATTATGAACCCGCATTCAGTTTTAAGCGTTTATAATCGATTATATTATGATTCAAGTACCAGTCTTACTTAAATTGAGAAAAAATTGATTTTAATCAATTTATAATCGATTATAATCTCTTTTAAAAAAATCAAATTATTTTCAATGAAAAACAATTTAATTGAATTAAATCGATTATAAGTCCATCCATTTTCGAAACAATTATAATCGAAAATTTATTATTTCTAAGTCATTTGTTTAGTAGAAAAAATCCATTATTATTGATTATAAACCCTTTTGTTTGTCCATTTTGTCTTCAAATTGTTTTGTCTGCATCTGAATTGATTATATATTTTTTATTTTTTTGCAGATATTGGTTTATGTGAAAAATGGGAAAGTTGTTTTAACGGTTTTTAGATCGATTCAAATTTCTAGCCTTCTTTTCACTCTTCGACTACAGTTGTTTCATGATGCACATTTTATGTTTTTTTTACCACCAAATTATCAGCACATTGCTTTAGTTTCTTGATTTGCTCGTAAAAGTTATTTTTCGCCTACTACAGTAACCTTTCAACTAATATAAAGGGATCTCTATGAAACTTTTTTCGTGGTAAAGCTTTGAATTCAGATGAACCAAAGTTGACAAGACATCTAGTTTTTAAAGGTTTTTGACAGAAAACGGGATTATTATCTATAATAATAGATTATATAAAAAATATAAGAGATTACAAGAGATTATAAAAAATTATAAGAGATTTTCCTAAATACTACAATCAATTATAATTGATTATATTTTACCATGATTTCATTATTATAATGGATTATAAACCGTTTAAGCATCTAAATTTGGTGCTCATAATTAATTATAATTTTAAAAAAGTAAAAATGTAAATGTAATATAATCGATTTTTTTCTCTTTTTACCGAGTGCAACAAAGGCTCCAATTTATGGTTTGCTTACAATTTCCCGCGCCAATTGTTTTCTTTGCAACCTAACCATGGTTTGATTTTCTTACAGTTATCTTTTGGCAGTCGAATTAAGTTTTTAACACAAAATTTGTATGCCCCATTGATGATTTTAACTTGCTGAAATCAAATTTAAAAGATATTTTACCTCCGATTCTTTTTTGCAAAGTTTTGGGCGTTTGAAAATTGCCCATTTGGCCATACTCTGGACTAATTTACGCGCTTTTTGAAGATTTAATCCGTAATTCTTAAACTGTAACGCAAATGTTTTAAGCGTAGTGAGCTAACCCGCTCAACAAAACCGTTTCAATTTGAGTCGAGGCTAGCTATTTGGACGTTTTATTTTGGTAAGATTTAACTGTTTACACTTGATTTTTGATATCATCAAAAAATTTAAGGTTTTTTAAATGTTTTCCCCAGTTATCTATTCGATACGGATTAAAGGGGCAGTCGGAACATTCAGGGTTTTGCATTGATATACGAGCAGTCTTTTTCAAGCTTGAAGTTTATTTAGTAACTAATAGATCACGCTATTTTGTTTTTTGATAAAAATATATCATTTGTGAAAGAAATTTTTTTTTCTTAATGGTATTATTAGGGAAGAGCCCCTTTTTTTAAATTCAGAAATGATAATTTTTTTATCAAAAATCAAAATAGCGTGACCTTATCACTACTAACTTATTTTCAAGCCTAAAAAAGTGGCCAAGAGGACAAGATTGCTCGCATCAGGGCAAAGATTTCAATGTTCCGAGTGCCTTTTACGGTCTATGGAGCAGTAATAACCTGAAAAAATTAATTGTAATAGATGAAACAATTTTTTTTGAAGTTTGAGTTTTTTTTGAAAAATTTATCTCCCCACACGTTTTATATAATACAAAATAATAGATTTTGCTCCTAGTAACAAATCAATTATGGCAAATAAGCTTCCTTCAACCACTTGAAAACGATTCCTAAGAAGGGTTAAATCTCCACTTGCGATTTGATAGCGCAAAATATATCGCGTGTTAATTGTCCCAAGTTGGCCAAAATGGCAATCTTTAAACCTCCATAGTTAAAAAAAATTTATCACAGGTGGAATATGTTTTTAAATTAAAGCTCAGTACAACAATACATTTCGAAGCATATTTCAAAATTCCGTCAAAATTGGCTAGTTAAAGAATCGAAATTTGTCTGAAGAAAAAAAAAGCACAAATATTTCGTTATTTTCGTTATGAAAGTCGGAACAACAATTGACTCGGGAAACTATAAATCAACCATATTTTGGAGTCTTCGTTTTATATATGCTTAATCTCCAGTCTTGAAGCGCCATGCTATCACATTAATTCTGCTCTCCCTTTTTTTTCTAATAGCAAAAACGTTTGTCAGTTAAAGTTAACGATGTGTCATTCAAAAGTAAAGAAAGCCTACGAAGAAAAAAGAATTTCTCCATTTATTTCTCCATTTATTAAATCATTACATTCATCAATTGAAAAATGTATTTAAAAAAAAATTCATAAATGAAAAAATCAACATGAATATGGAGAGGATAGACGAAATTCACAAGATGTGTCCACTTAGAGTCTACCCATAATGCTCTGAGACAAAAAACAAACATAACTTAGCATTAAAAAAACTATTTATAATAAATCATTCTACTTTTTTCTATCAATTTGTGTTCTAGTTATAGATGAAACTTGTGAATTGATTTACTTTCCTCCAACCCTTGATCACAAATCACACTCTAAGAAAGACTAAGTTTCTTATGGAACTTGACCACTCGAGGAAGTATCCAATCATTCTAACGAATTGATATAATCACTCTCCAACCCGTCTATACTCGACAATCTTTCCCCAAGGATGAAAATCCATGTTTCGTTGAACTACAAGTTACCAAAAAATCCCGGCCATCATCTTAACTTTGTCTTTTAATTTAAAATGACATGCTTTGAATTCAGTTTTGATGGCGTTTTTCAGACCATGTTACATGACAACACAGACAGAGGACATAAGGACCCCAATGCAGTGTCCAGAATACAGAGGGGGGCCAGTGAGGATGGAGGAGGGGAAGGGGGAGGGGGAGTGAGCAGTCAGGACTTGGGGGGAGGGAGTAACAAGAATAGGGCTTACGCTGTCATCATAACAGGAGCAGCACTGGTTAATACGTTTAATACATCCAGAGATTTCATTTTAATGGAACTATTGTATTTGATTTGAAATTATACGAAATTTAGAAAAGTTTTTTTTTTAAGAAATTGAAATCCAAAATAAATGCAATTGAATCACTCTTGACATTAAAGAAGGGCTAGTTTAGTTTTTACTTGTATATCCAAAGAACAACATCAAACAAAATAGCAATAAAATAGATGAATACATAGATATAAATCATAAAAGGGGTCTTTTCAGCATAAAAATTATTCCATCATATTACAAAGGTCTCACACTTTAGATGGTGATTGAACACATTTTAGATGGTGATTGAGCAATTGTCTGAGAAGAAGGGCAAGAAACACGCCACTGACAACTGGGAACACAAGGCCACTCTCAAGGAAGTCTTCTTGGATGTCGGATGCAAGTGCCACACTGTCATATGCAGTCGAGTCACCCCTGGACAAAAGGCAGGACAATTTCCACTTACAACTCCCTAATTAATCTTTCTTCACGTTGTTGAAAATTTTTTTTCCAAAAAACAGCAAAAATCTGCGATAATTCCATTGTAATAACAAAGTTTATCAAAGCCAAACTGTTCATGCTCAAAAAAATGACATAAAAATGCCCAAGCTTCAGAAAAAACATCGAAGATTTTGAAAAATTTATTTTCGAAATGTTCATTACTCTCATAGGTCATAATGTCGTTTGAAACTTTTGAAAAGGGTAGTTAAATTAACTTTACGAGGAATTTGAACTGGAAAATATTGGAACAGGCTCTGATTGTGGAGTGGGTGAAAGAGAGGGAGAATGCCATCACCCTGTCCATAGGGGATGGGGCCAACGATGTGTCCATGATCAAGAAGGCACACATAGGAGTGGGCGTGGAGGGCAACGAGGGAATGCAGGCGGTGCTCAACAGGAAACATTCATTTAACTAGAGATGACCCTATTGAGAACTGACACACAATCTTATATCGACGATGGGGAAATAGACAAGAAGAAAGATTTTTTTTGGCAAAACTATTTAAAATTTCAATTAAAAGTCCATTTTTTCTTAAAAAATTATCTGCATTAAGACTGAAAGTGTTGACACTTTGCAGAGGTACCCAACTGAGAACTGAGAACGGTTTAACGGAGAAGTTTTTTTGATCGAAACTGGGAAAATTTTTATTTAAAAACTGAAATATTCAAAATTTGAAATTATTCTGTACTTTGGAAGAAAGGAAAGATCGGATGATCAAAATGGTTAGAGATGAGTTACCCTAGCCTTTCTTTGAAGGCTAAACCAAAAGCCATTACCTCAACCCCCCCCCCCCCCAATCCCAGCGGTGTTTAAAGTCTATGTAAAAATAACGTAACCTCACTTTTAATTGGGACTCCTCCAAGTTAAATGGATGTTGATGCTTTGCTGCAACAGTGACTACAGCATAGCCCAGTTCCACTATCTGAAGAGACTGCTGCTGCTGCATGGCCACTGGTCCTACCACAGGATGTCCTTCTTCCTCCGATACTTCTTCTACAAGAACTTCGCCTTCTCACTCCTTCAGGCATCTCACCTCTTTCCCACTATCACCCCCCATCCCCCCACTATTCATGTTGGGAGAAGTAGACTTTAAAATTTACATTTTAAATTTTAACTGACAAAAACGTCAAAAAACGTAAGACTACAACTTCCAAATTAGACATGAAAAAGAAACCAGATGACATCTAAAATGGTGAAAAAAAAAATCATGTTACCAAAGTTTTGAACACTTCTTAACGTTTTGTAATCAAAAAAATTGACCATTTCAAATACAAACGGAATATTTTCGAACAGACCTGATAGCCTTTCATAGATCTCTTGCGAATCCTCAGAAACCCCAATTATTAATAAAAAATGAAAATTTTGATATCTTCCAAGATTCTTTGGCAAGAACTTGCCAAGACAGCCAGGATTTTCTTTAAGATTTTCCAAAATTTTTCAAAGATATCAAAGATTGATAAACTTGGGCTGAGAATGAAAGTGGAAAAGAGAGAGTGTGTGATTTGTTCAGTTCTGGTTTGCCATGTATTGTGGCTTCTCTGCCCAGAGTGTCTATGATGGAGTATTTATCACCTTGTACAATATGCTCTACACTGCTCTGCCTGTAATTGCCATAGGACTATTCGACAAGGTTAGTATCAATTCTGTAACTTTTTTAGACCAAACCTGTAGTTAGTTTTCTAATGACAATTTCAAAACTTCTCAAATCGGATTTTAACTCATGGGCTCAAAAAAATACAACATATGTAGTCAATATTGCTTTCAATGAACTGAGATAGGGACCAGTTTTGAGTTTATGTAAGTGCTATCAATTCTTCTAGATAGACACCAGTTTGAGTTTATGTAAGTGCTATCAATTCTTCTTTCTGTCTGGGGACCTGCTGTCTTGACCTTGCGATCTCTAATTTCCGATGGGATCTGAAATAAAAGAGTGCAGTAAGAATTCGATTTGACGCCTAACAGTTTGTCTACAATAAAACTTATTAACAACCTTTTGAATTTCCAAACTTACGACTTTAACATGGCGCAGCCAGCAGAGAAAAAAGGAGCGGGAAAAATCCATTGAATATAGTAGCATTTTGGGAAACACGAACGCCCGAACCTCCAGTATATTGGGAGGAGTGGATAATTAAATTTCACAGGGGGATGATAGCAAAATACGACATTGATCCCGATGATTTCTATTTTGCGAGTACTTTAAATGCGGCGGCTATCACGGCGTTGCCTGAAGAAGTCAATGAAAAAAACCGTCTCGATTCGGAAAAGAAGTTAAAGTCTAACTTATATCTTTGTATCGGAGATGAGGCGCAACGTATATTCAAATCACGGAAACCGACGGTTAACATAAAAATGGAACGGTACCCACGGGTCCTGGATGAGATGCAAAATGTTTTCCAACGTGAGAGGAATGTAAGTCATGAGCGGGGACTCTTCTACGGACATAAACAACGTGAGAACGAAACTTTCGAAAAATTTCATGCGGAGCTAAGCGCTCTAGCAGGAAGATGTGATTTTGCAAATGCGGCCGAAAACATTCGTGAGATTTTCATTATGAATATGCGGGAATCGGATTGCCAACGAGAATTATCACGATCAACTAAGTTACCGGAGGAAGTTTACCGGATCGCCTTATCATATGAACGTGGTGAGCCCGCATACAAATCATATACGGGAAAACCAGCTTCATCAGCTCCGGCAATTTCAATAAAACAGGAACCAGTAAATAATATAAGAAAGGGACAAGGATTTTTTCGAGGTCGAGGACGTGCGGGACGTGGAGGATACACCCAAGGATCAAGTAGTAGTGGGGGAAGCGGGAATAACCGTAGGTGTTACAATTGCGACGCGCCAAATTTTACCCTGGATCACATCGCGAGCTGTCCTGCAAAAGGAGCAACATGTAACTCGTGCCGAAAACTGGGACATTTTGAACGAACATGTCGAGGAATTAGAAGGGGTACTAACCAATGGCGAGGACGAGGACGAGTTGGATTGGTCAGGGAGGAAAATGAGCATCATCAAAGTACGCAGAACTAAATGAATTGAATGAAGATCCAGTATCGTGGGTGAATCAGCAGGGGTGCGGGGAAAATGAATCCATGACGTCGGGATCGGACGACTACATGGTAATGTCGATAAAAAGGAAGAAGAATGAGACTGAATTGAAAATCCCTGGGGCCCGCGTTCAAGTGGAGGTGTCAGGGAAGAAGATGTGGTTGTGGATAGATAGTGGATCTCCAGTGACTATCTTCAGCATAAACGACCTAAAAACAACGTTAGGAAAAGCAAATATTCAACTACAACCGTCAAAAGAGGAATTTCTAGATTACAACAACAACCGAATAAACATACTAGGGAAGGTAACAGTGATGATGTCATTAAATGGCTGGGCAGCACCAGCACAGGTGTCAGTAATATCCGGAAATCATCAACCAATCCTAGGGCGCGACCTGATGGGCACCCTAGGTATCGAGCTAGTCCAACGGAAGAAACTGATGGGAATCACAGGGGAAGGGATCAGTCAAGAGGAGGAGGAATACGACGAATTGCAAACATATATCTGTAAGTTGTACCCAAATTTATTTACTAGGATAGGGAAGATCCGGAATGCGAAAGTAAGAGCTGATTTTTTTTGAAAATTTGAAGCCTACACAACAAAAAGGGCGGAGGGTGCCAATCAGTCTACAAGAAAAGATGGATAAAGAAATTCATCGGCTGATAAATGAAGGACATATCGTAAAATTACAAGAGTGCTCAGATAAGTATTTCGTCTCTCCTATCCTCATTACAGTAAAAAAGGACGAAGCATAAAATTAGCACTAGAATCCAGAGAGTTGAATAAACAGGTACACAAAAATAAGTACCAAATGCCAAATATTGACGAATTAATTGACGGAGTAAGTCAGATTATCGCGGAGAAAAAATCGGGGAATGTATACTTTACAACATTGGATTTCACATATGCGTACGGACAAGTCGCATTAGAACAAAAAATGAGCGAGCATTGCAATTTCTCGTTAGTCGGCGGAAAATCCACGGGGACTTATCGTTTTAAAAACGGATTTTACGGACTTACGTCAATGCCGGCGGAATTCCAGAAGATAATTGATAATTTACTTAAGGAGTTCCCCCAGGCTAACGCGTTTATTGATGATATCTTAATTGCTTCAAAAGGAACTAAAATCGAACACATTGCGTTGTTGGAAAAGATATTGAAAAAGCTGGACGTCTCCAATGTCGCGTTAAAATTGCGAAAATGCGAATTTGCGAAAACGGAGTGCGAATGGCTTGGATTTCGAATTGGGGAAAGTGGTATAACGCGCTTAGTAAGAAAAACACAAGCAATAGAAGACTTGAAAACCCCTAAATCTCGAAAGCAGTTGAAATCTTTGATGGGTTCACTACACAGCTTACACAAATTTTTACCCAAGCTCGCCGAATTAAGCGCACCGTTAAGGCCATTACTGAGTCAAAATATCGATTTTGTCTGGACACCCGTTTGCGAAAATGCATTCCAACAATTAAAATCGCTGGTGGAAAATAATGTCGAATTACGACATTTCGACATTCAACGTGAAACTAGAATTGTTTGTGACGCTAGTCATGATGGCCTAGGGGCCGTTTTAGAACAGTATGGCGCATCCGGGTGGCACCCGATTTCGTTTATATCCCGTTATCTTAATCAGGCTGAAAAAAAATACTCCACAAACGAATTAGAATTACTCGCGGTAGTGTGGGCCACGGAACATTTTCGGAATTACATATACGGTCGGTTTTTCACAGTGATATCTGATCATAAAGCGCTACTTACCTTGTTGAATTCGTCACCGAAAGGAAATAAAACACTTTTCAGTCGATTAACTCGATGGTATGATCGACTGGTGCCATACGACTTTAAAGTTGAACATAGACAAGGGTCAAAATTGGGGATGGCTGACTATTTGTCTCGGTTTCCGTCCGCAGAGGCACCCGAGACAAGTCATTACGATGAAAATTTTACAGTAGCAAAGATAAGAATGATAAACGCGGCGTTGAGGCCCAAGGATAAAATGAAGCCTAGGGTTCAAGAAGTGAATAACATTAAGCGAAAACCAACGGTAGGGGGCGAACAGTCATGTTTCGACACAACGAAATCAGTTTCATCCAATGAGAATGAAAGAAAAGACGATTATGCAAATATTCACCGTGAGCACAAACGCTCAATAGTGGGCGTGTTTACATGCAACCGACGGTTAACCAATCAGCGTCGAGATATTTGCATACCGGTGGAAATATGCAAATACCGAAGAACGAGATTCAAACTTTGTTCTCATTGCTTAAATTACAGTTGCAAACATAAAAAATTGATTCAATACCCTCGAAACCCTTCCATTTCAACTAACTAGAATTGCAAGCCTTCTGCGTCGAAAATTTACAGTTGCAAACCATCCGTCTTACAAGATTACAGTGAAGAGCCACTTACTTTGAAAATTTACAGTGGTAAAGATTATAGTGAAAAGCCAATTACTTTGAAAAAATACAAGAGCAAATCCGAGAGAAATAACTTGAGTAACCCAAAATATAAAAAAATGAGTAATTCGCCCAGCGAAAAATGATCCTCCAACTTCGGCAAAAGTCAACACATCAAATAATTTGGGAAATGTTAATCTAAATGTTGTACTGAACCGCCTAAATCAACCTCCTAGCGTTAGTTCGGATTCGGATATTGAAATGACACCACCCGAAAAACTTGATATCGACAAAACTAATTCTAAAAAACTAAATACATTTATATCTTTTCCACATCAGTTCCCCGGTTTATCGTACCCACTTGTACAAAATGAAACATGGATCTAATCTATAGTGCCATCGGATAGTAAAATAGTGAAGAAAATTGAACACCCGGAAGTTTTGAATTTAAAATTGATTGAAGCAAATAATGAAAAAGACCCAATTATGAAGACCACCCGAGACAACATCAGAGACAGGAACCCACGAGCAAAGGAGATTATTACAAGATTAGGACAATATTACGCCCAGCATTACAACGATTTCGCAGTGCGTGAGAATTGCCCGTGGATGGACGGCCGGTTAGCAATACCGAAGGACCTATCATCAGCAATTCTGAATCGCCTACATTATAACCATCATGGGCGGGATAAGATGTTCGCGGCCGCAAAGGACGTGTGGATTCCCCTTATGCACCGAAATATCGCGGCCACAGTCAAATACTGCAAAAGTTGTTTAGAAGCAGGTAAAAACCTTAAGCCGGACATTCCGAAAAGTGACATGGGGGAAACGTATGTTCCTAAGGAACCAAATGATTTGGTCCAATTAGATTTCTTTTCTGGGTTCCAGTAAACTATGTAAAGGGTCGGAAAAAGTATGTACTTGTAGCAGTAGATACTTTCTCGCATTGGCCGTCGGCGTATGTTTGTTCAAGCAACAAATCAAAAAATGTATTGAAGTTCCTAAGGAAGTACAAAAATACTCATGGACACCCAAGGAAATTGCACATGGACCAAGCCACGGGTTTTTTCTCAAACGAAATTCAAAATTTCTGTAACTACGAAGGTATCGAACTTATTAAATCTCCGGTTAGGGATCATCGCGCAACAGGAATGGTTGAACGTACTATTGGGTCGATAAAAAATTACGTGTTGACTTATCTCCAGGAAAATAAAAACTACAAGTTTGGAGCGATGATATCTCGTGCGCTTAGTGCATTACGTTTCGTGCCACATTCTAAAACTAAACTAACGCCATTCGAAGCATACCATGGTCGAGAAACAAATACGGCACTGCGAAATTTAACAAAAAAGCCGTCATTGAAAAAATTAAATTGGAACAATGTTGTTAATCAAAAGTTATCTTGTTTAGACAAGGCGGGAAACCTCCCAGAAGTTGAACTTACCCTAGATTGGGAGAAGAGAAGTGACTTAGTGTACGCCCCTCAAAATAGGAAAGCTCCAATCATTTTGGATGATGACGTGGTAACGGATCCCAAGGCTCCGGAAGTTGTTGACCCCAAGGAACGAAGCCCACCCAAGACCCCAACATGGCTGAAAAAGCATAAAACAAGTTCAACGACGGTGTATCAGAGGACCGGGAAGACGGATCCAAAGGACCCAAGGAGGTATAAACGTTTGCCATTAAAAATTGAAAAATTTACTAAGCATACGGTGCAAATGGAAAAAGGGTCGTTACTAAGGCGGAGTGGTGTGTCTTTTAGATCGGCGGCTGAAGAAAGCCTAATTGGAATTAGAAGCGAAGAGTGCACCCCTGGAGCGAGTAGAAACATAACTAGTACACCGGCCCCAAGCGAATCAAACAAGTACAAGCGAAAAGCCGAGAAGGACCGAACCGCAATGGAAAATGCAAGAAAATCGACAAAACAGCGAATAGTGGAATACTCGGCGGACGAGAGCGAGGACGACGACAACCACGATAGTGAGTGGGAAATCGGACGAAGGGAACCAACCATAGGTGCGGCGAACGAAGGACAGGATGTACCGTCGGTTAGGGAGAATTCACCACGATCCGTCGGTGGAAAACGAAGTAAAAATCAGTACGAAACGGCGACGCGGAAAGCAACGCGGCAGAGACGCGGAGTTGACAAGATGGGGGGGGGGGGCTATGATCCACCGCATAGCACATAAATGAGGGAAACGACAAGAAAAAAAAAGGAGAAAAGTAAACCTTAAGAGAGGTTTGGCGGGTGAGAAAACTCAACGAAAACTAAAAACTTAACTAGTACATTTATATAATACCAAACAGTAACAAAAAGTTGATAAATTTTATCTACGCTAAAATTTATTTGTGGTTGCCCGAATGAGATAGGGACCAGTTTTGAGTTTATATAAGTGCTATCAATATTTCTAGATAGACACCAGTTTGAGTTTATGTAAGTGCTATCAATTTTTCTTTCTGTCTGGGGACCTGCTGTCTTGACCTTGCGATCTCTAATGTCCGATGGGATCTGAAATGAAAGAGTGCAGTAAGATTTCGATTCGATGCCTAACAGTTTGTCTACAATAAAACTTATTAACAACCTTTTGAATTTCCAAACTTACGACTTTAACAGAACAAAAACGCAGAATTACGTAATGCTATTAATAGCTTTTGCAAAACATTAATCTTTTTTTTTGCAGATTTTTCAGTTGTCTAAATTGAGATTGAAATTTCCTTAAATTTTTTTTGAATATTTTACTTGCAATATGTGGATCAGAAACTAAATCTTACAAAATCTCACTTTTTAACAACTTATAAGGAAATACATAAATTAGAGTTTTCACTCTAATTTACTTCTATTCAAAGAAGTTTTTTTAAACAAGGTTCAGAACACAATATAACTTAGCTGAATATGAGTTTGATAGCAGATGATTTCAGGACGTGGGTTCCAAGTACTGCATGACGTTCCCCCAGATATACTGTGTGGGCCAGGAGGACAAACTGTTCAACAAGTTCGTCTTCTTCCAGAGTGTCCTCCACGGCACCTGGCACTCCATCGTCGTCTTCTTCGTCACTGTGGGACTATACAGTAACTATACTGACAGTGCGGGACTGGACCACAGCGACTACTACTCATTCATTGCCGCCATACAGAGCAATCTGGTGCTGGTTGTCAATTTGCAGGTTATATTATTGTCTAAAAATATTCTAAATAAACCTACAGTTCATAGGGCTCTTTTCCAGTTCTCCATCCATCTCGTAAAATTGCAAAAGAAAAGTGTTCAAAGCTGTTAACATGACAATATGCTTGTAAAAACTGTTGTTAAATTTTGTTCACCTGTTCATGCTGACCTGTTCGTTTTATTGCAGTATATAAAATGAAAATTCTCATTATTTTGGCTAGGCCCTCTGCAACGAAAAAAACACTATAGGTGTTTGCGTCCGAACAGATAGTAGGGAAAAACTTTGGTCTTGAAGATTTTTCATTCCGAAAAAGTTCTAATGAGCTTTCTATGTGGCAAAATCTGATTATTTTCATAACTCTGTAATTATATTCTCTGCCTCGAGAAAAATCAGTTTGCATTTTTTGTGACAATGGTGTAACTTGCTGAGCAAAAACGCGGGTGCCTACCGGGATTCTAACCCGGGCAAATGGGCTTTCAATCAGATGCTTAGTCTATTTGCCAACCTGTCTTTACGTGATAACTCAGACTGGTGACGGCTATTTTAGGCGAAAACTATATTAGGCGAAAATAAAAGTATTTAAGTTAGGCGAAAATTCTGATTAAAAAAGTGTGCATTTTAGAAGAAACTGTATGTGATTACCTACGTGATTCCATTGCTACATACAAAAAGCACATAAGATTAATCAAACAGCAAATAAACGGTAAAATAGTGACAGCTGCAGTCGCGCCAACGTGTTGCAAGCGTGTCAACAGAAGGTAGGACTCTTTACGAAAATTAGAGCCGGTTATCACCGCGCAGTGGCAACGCGCACGTAGCGCGCGTACGGGTGACCTTGAAACGACAAACTTCTTTGTGGTCCTTAATTGCTTCTTGTCAATGTCGTCTGGAAAATTAGGGGGACTTTTGATAAAAAATATACACTTTTATTATCAAAATTTTTGCCTAAATTTAACACTTTTGTTTTCGCCCAATATAGTTTTTGCCTAATATATACAACCCCACTCAGACTGTATTAGATTCAAAATTTAACTTCACCACCGAATATTACCAGTTTAACAGCAGTTGGTAAAAATATTTTTCTTTGACTTTGTAAATCAAACTGCAATTATGAGATCAATTTTCCATTTCGTAAAAACTTACTGAAAATCTTCAATATTTGTCCATGTTCATTTTTTAGGTCCAGAATGCATTGTAAAAACAAAAAAAAATTGAAAAACTTAGTTTCAAAAAATTTGTTGTAGACAGGGCAACTGAAACTTTTTTAGAGGTGAGCTACAGAAGAAATTCTCCTGTAAAAAAATAGTCCGATGGGTTTCCCGCTGAAATTCCTTTGTTTAGATTGTTGTTCTCCACAAATCTGTAGATCACAAAAAAAACAAGCCACTTACTGTAATTAATTTGAAGGGAAAACAAAAAAAGACTAAAACAGACCCGAATACAAAGTTCCTCCCCATTTTCAATGGTCGGAACATTTCAAGGTTCATTCATTCAAACAAATTATATACAAGGTAATGTGGGGTTAGGATAAGATGAAAATGAAAACAACAATCGTTGTTGATCTCTGGTTGCCTGTAAGTTTCACGTTTTTTTTTCGGTTACAACGTTTCAAGAATCATGAGGTTGTTTTTGACAACCTCATAAGTCATGTCATTATTCGAAAAAATCTAGTGCTTGAAACACTTCCTTTGATACTATACTTTGATTTCTTCTTTTAATACGCGAAGCAAAAGTTTTTGTAACGCTCACAATCAAGCTTTTGGAATTTTTTAAAAAACTATTTTAAAACTATTTCCTTGAAGCAAATTTTTTTAAAAAAAAAACATTTTTTGCGTGGTATTCGCTTCTATATAACAATTTTCGATTGAAGTGCAACTAAATCAATTCAACGTGATAATGAAACCCGTTATCATGCAGTTTCGTTAACTGTACCAGCTCTTCGATATTGTTTGAACTAATTTTATACTTTTATCTTGAAATTCAGCTAATAATATTTTCATATTGTTTGAACTAATTTTATACTTTTATCTTGAAATTCAGCTAATAATGTTTTCAATGTTTTTTTAGGATTTCTCGAAAATTTTCTTTCATACAGAATTTGTGAAAATTGTATTATGGTTTTTTGTCAACGTTTGAGTTGAGAGTGGGGCCACTTCTGAAACAGATTTTTTTCCTGAGCTCATTATTGCAGTTTTTTTTGAAATTTTTTTAATGACTATCATGGATAGAATTGTAAATTTTCTAAGGCTGTGACACAAAAAAAAACGAATTCATTTCACATTAATTTTCAAATTGTTTTCTGGATAAAATTAGATTCAATTTTTCAAAATATTTACAAAAAATGATTTGAGATGGCAAAACATGGACTACAAATATTTTTTTTTCAGATTTTTTTTGTGACATTGTGCTCCAATAAAAAAATTTGTCAGTTTTTGGTCAGAAGTGAGATCGAGCTGGTAAAGTTGATGCATTTCGAGTAAAGAGTCTTAAAAAGAGTAGCTAAATCATACTGAGTCTCCTTTTTTTAATAGCATGACGCCACACCTAATCGCATGCAGAGATTTTTTGAGTCAAAATTTTCTTGGCTCTGAACAATTTTGTTTTGAGATAGCTGAACACAAAATGTTCATTTTTTTTGTTGTTTCTGATCGGATCATTCTTTGTAACTTGCACTGCACAGCAATCAGCTATCCTCGCCATCCTCGTTAATTTTTCATCTTTTTTTTCTAGGTTGGTCGCTCTTCTGGATTTTGACCAATTTTAATCAAAATGCTCATTTTGATTAAAATTGGCCAAAATCCAGAAGAGCGACCAACCTAGAAAAAAAGATGAAAAATTAACGAGGATGGCGAGGATAGCTGATTGCTGTGCAGTGCAAGTTACAAAGAATGATCCGATCAGAAACAACAAAAAAAATGAACATTTTGTGTTCAGCTATCTCAAAACAAAATTGTTCAGAGCCAAGAAAATTTTGACTCAAAAAATCTCTGCATGCGATTAGGTGTGGCGTCATGCTATTAAATCATGCTGTCAAAAAACTGGTGAAATTAATTTTGAAAAAATTGTCTTTAATTGAAAAACCAAATTTTTTTTATTTTTAAGCGAGGGAATTGAGCGAGAATTCACTAAAATCATATGGATAAATATGAAAACTTACACAAAAAAAAAGAATAAAGATATCTTAGTTTCACTATCAGATTTCGTATAAGCTTAATGGATATATTTGAAAATCAAATGTTTTCAAAGCATAAAAAGTTGTATGGGCGTATGGACGGACAAACAACCTCATAATTCATTTTTGTTCATCAACCTGCTTGATCTGCAAAAGCATTGTTTATTATTTTCGGTTTATTCATCTAAAAATTGTCAATTAGTTAATTCAATTATGAGTTAAAGCTTAGAAGTTGTGACGAAAAATAAAATGTTGAAAGTTTCATCCTATCTGCTACAAGAAATTCTGCAGTAAACTTTCGCCAATATACTAATTTTGAGGAGGGGGGGGGGGCGCCGAAAAAATGCAATTTTTCGGTCAAAATTTTCCAAAAAGTGCCTAAAAACGCCTTTTTTTAACCTGTTTTTTCAAAATTTTGCCTGCGGCGCAAACAATTTGGCCAAAATAGGGACAAAACCGCAAAACCGTGCTTTGGGAGAGCGGAGAGCTCGAAAAATCAATTTGGTCGACCTAAAAAAAAAGGTCGTCAAAATTTTCGAAAATTTTTTGAAAATCCGCCCCCCCCCCCCCTCGAGAAAATCCTAGATCCGCCCCTTTTTCTATGTATAGGTTTTTCCAGATTCACTAAAACCTGCAGTAGTTGTCTCAACTCATAAATCTCAAAATCCAATTCTGAAAATACAAGGCAATATTTAAGTTTTGTCCAGTGTCTCTTTTAATTGCCTTTTTAATAGATTGGTAAGAAATAATGATTTTCATTGAAAAATAAAATCAAATTTTATCCAAATTTTTTCATATTTGGTTTCAGAAAAAATGATATTCAATGAAAGTAGTTTTATAAATGATGGAATCAATATAAAACTATGTTGACAAAGAAGAAAAACTTCGCAGCGTGTTTCAAGATTTAATAGATGTTGGTACCTCTAAACAAAAATACTCAATTACAAGCTTTCTTGAATCGGCGTTAAGGCAATAGTTGAAAACTTGATCAGCTAATATCTAACAGGAAGAAAACAATTTCTTGCTATTGGGGAAAAACTTCTAAAATGTCCACGTCTCGGAAGGATCGGTGGTATAATCTTTTCTTACTTCGCAAAATGATACGACTAGCTGTTTTCCGGCTCTGAATGCAGCAGTTGAATCCTTCGGCAATGATAACTGCTCAACAAATTTTCTCCGAAACGCTCTCTAAACTATTATGGTCAAAGGCAAGTTTTGACCTTCCAAGGAGAGTCTTTATTGAAGAGTTCCATGGAAGGTTTTGAGAAAACTGCAGTTGAATCTTTGAATGTTTTGACATTTCAGTTGCTGCATAAAATAAGGGGCAATATTTCAACGTCCATTGAGTAAATACGACTCTTCCTCCCTTGCTGAAGTTGTGACTTTTAGGCCATTCTGGACACTAAGAATTGGACTGTTGTGAATAACGTGTTCATCTGGGGCTCAGTGGCCTCCTTCTTCATTGTCCAGCTAATCTGTGGACTGCCCCAATTTGCTGACTCATTCATTTACGACTGGTGAGCTCAAAAAAGTTCATAGACTCAAATAAATTTATGAATCTCATATGTTTCAAATAGCTCTGTTTCAAATGTCTTTTATATCTCTCTTCAAATTATGTCCCTCCTAATTTTGTCGACCAGAAAAATTCTGATGAAAATCATTAATGATCAAAATAGTAATTAAAATTCAAGCTAGCTTCAAATTAACTTTTTTTAAAAGCCAACCTTTTTTTCATATCGCGCGGAGTCTTGATGTACATTTAGGTTTCAAGGACAAGTTAAAAGATTAAGGATAATCCATTAATGTTTCAATATGTACAATACATGATGATAATGTACACCTGTTGTTTGTGGTGACTTCAGGTTCGGCCAGTCGGGCAGTCTGCTTGCAGTGCTGTTGACAGCCAACTACTGGTTCACTGCCCTCCTCACAGTAGCCCTCTGCATACTCCCAGTTGTCGCCCTCAGAACTGTCGAGATTGACCTCCGCCCATCCTACATTGACCTGATGCGCATCATTGTAAGAAACGTTTTATTTGCTGATGCTTGTTCAACTTTCCATTTGTCTAAGTTGAAGTTAATTATTCTATAGCAAATAGTTTTTGCTTTTGTCACATTTTTTGTTGGCAATAAAAGATTAACATATATGGTTTCGGGGTAAAAATTAATTGAGGTGAATTTTATTCTCCAAATGACGATTATCTCTCAACGTCGATTCTAAATTAAGTCGTTTTTGTCGTAGAATATTTTGTTCTAAAAGATGTCGTAGTTCTATGACGTATAAGTTGAAAGATGAAAATCACGTTTTTCCATTTTTTTCTTGCAATTCAATAGCAGTTTGCTATTTTATTTTAAAAAAATAGAATGTCAAGTTTATTATCCGATGAGTCATGTCTCCGATGTTTCCATGTCGCCATAATATCCGATGATTCGCTGTTTCATGATGTCTTACTAATCGTTTTGTTCAGTCCAAGAAGAAGCGAGCGATCACTCGGCAGTCTGGCATATCGGACAGGAGATCTGCGAGGCCAGTGAGCAGACGGAGACGCACCTCCTCTTACGCATTCTCCCACTCGGAAGGCTTCGGGAAGATGGTGTCCAAGGGGTCTTACCTGGAGGATCCCAAGGAGTACGACAGTTCCAGAGTGCACATCGGCAGCAGAGGCAGAAGTGCCAGTAGGGTACTACCCACTCATCAGGCAAGTGAAGCTAACATTAATATTTAGTTCTTCTTCTGTTTTTTCTTTTTCTTTGATTGTTCCGACAAAACTGCATCACGTTTAAACACTTGTCTCTGGATTCCAGAGACATTCAGACACCAAGTTGTGCGCCTATCCAGTGCACAGTTTAGCCTTGTAATGACTAATAATCATTAATATTATATTAATATAATAATAAAATTAATAATAATATAATAATAATAATAATACTTTAGTTTTTCAGATAATGTTTAATACACAAAAAACTCGGAGGTCATCAAAAGATTGATTTTGCCCGTCAGTGTGACGAACCGAGTAAGAAACGCAAACACGCAAAATAAAAAAAAACATGGAGAAAACTTGAATTTTAAGAGCTTTTATTGCTGAAAATGTAGTTGTCTAATTTTATTTTCAAATTCGTTGTTTTGAAGTTTGTATGCTCAAAAATCTGGTATTTAACGTAAAGGAGTCCTTCAAAAATGAATCCTTTAAAGAAAAATCTTTCTAGTTTTAATCTTCAAAAACATGGTTGAAGCTGCCTTAAACATTACAACATTCCAAAGTGATAGAGGTTTTTGCAAGTCATCAGCCAAAAACCAGTAAAGTTTCAAGACTTTTCCTTAACATAGCTCGAAGTCGATTACAAAAACTCGAATTCAAACATGAAAAGTGTCAAATTATTTCAGGAAGTTGACGAAGATGAATCATTTGAAATGAGTGGCGGCCAAAATCAGAAGCCGAAGCGAGAAAGCCGAGAGCAGAGTCAAAACAGCAGCGAATCTCGGAGTCGTAACAAATCCGAGGACGAGAGAGGAGACGAGCTGGGCCAGCCAAAAACGAGGGATAAATCGGCCGAAAATTCTAGAAGGAAAACAAGTAGAGAGAGACGACGGAGCTCTTCAAGCGAAAGTGCAGTGCGGACATTAGAAGATAAAAATTAGTGCTGTCATTATTTTATCATTTTGTGTCATTACCATTTATCATTTAGAATTCCATTAATTTAATATTTGAAACGACCTGTGGTAACTGAAATGTAAGCTTACTCGTTTGATAAAGACTGGCAATTGATGGCTGCTAAGACCACCAACGCCACTTTGTTCCAGGTTGTAATCACTTTTAAACTTAGGACTTATGTCAAGAATTGACTGAGAATGAGAAGTTAAGTTTATGTGTTCACCGCGAAAAATACCAGCGTTCAACGCACGAACCGATTAATTATTTTTAATTAAAACACACATGTTCAGTATGTGCACGTGCCATATGTGAAAAACTAGTGCAATATTTGAAAAACTAGTGCAAACTTTGAGGCAATAGTGCAATATCTTTCCTTGAACAATCAACCAAAACAAATTAGAAAAAAAAGTGTGTTAGCGTGAAAACGTTTTCAAATATGTGTTTTGTTCTATTTTTTCACTTGTGTTTATACCAGATAAGCAACAGCTTAAATTGCTGAAATTGCATCTCGAAATTTGTCCACATCTCGACACTGTGAGTCTCAATTTATTCACAAAATTTCTGATGCAATAGAAAGCTTTTGCTTATCTACTACAAAATCGCTGAAAGATGCATATTCTGGGACAGATTTAATAATTTAATGTCAACAGTTCTAAAAAATATCATTTGTTTTAAACATTAAGTGTTTTAATGATGTTTTACCTAGGAAATGTTCCAATTCAGATCTGAAATAAACTGTGTTTTTATAAAGTGTTTTACCTAAGAATTGTTCTAATTCAGATCCGAAATAAACTTTACATCTGAAATAGGTTGTGAAATGTTGAAATAACGCTTGGATACTTTAAGAATGGGTTATTTCAGGTCTGAAACTTTGTTTTTTTTATTAATTCAGATCCGAAAATTTTTTTTAGGATCTATATTTAACAATAAATAATTTTGACACAATTTTTGATATTTAGTTACTTCTGTACAGGCGCGGATCTAGGATTTTATCGAGGGGTGCGGATTTTCAAAAAAATCCTTTTTTTTTAGGTCGACCAAATTGATTTTCTGAGCTCTCCCAAACTACTATAAAGACCCCCTAATTTGCCCAAATTTCTTGGGCCGCAGGCAAATTTTTGGAAAAAGGTCAAAAAAGGCGGTTTTAGGCACTTTTTGAAAAATTTCCACCAAAAAATTGCGTTTTTTCGGCGCGCGCTCGCCCCTCAAAATTAGGCGCCCTTAGACAAATTTTAAGGTCAGTCAGCCAAAAATGGATATCTTAAAATAGTAGAAAGGGGGTACCATTTGGGTCCGCAGTGGTTCGAATCCATGAGGGGGGGGGGGGGCGTCCGCCCTACCCCCATAAATCCGCTAATGCTTCTGTATTTGATAGCTTCTGCTAAATACGAGCAGGTACTCAGCAAACTCTCTGATCGAAAATTGCTGAAATTTGTTTCCCGAAGGATGAGATACACATGGGAAACGCATAAGTAGCGCATAAAAATCAAAGGTTTGATAAGCCTTGTAACAAATTATGAAAACTTTTTAAAACAGTCGAACAAGAAATTTAGTTAAAAAAATAACTATATGAAATAATTGGGAAGTTTTTCTTACCGCAAGTTAATCTAAATATAGATTGTATTGTAGAAACAAAAATTCTAAACTCAATGTTTGTTTGAAATGCATAAACAAAGGGTTACCAAAATCTAATTTTAGATCTGAAACTTTGTTTTTCAAGGTTACTTCAAATTTGAAAGTTTTTACTGTATTTCAGATCCAAATTTTAGATCTTAAATTTTCAACTCGTTATCAAGATTTGAAATAAAGATATTCAGGCCGGAGAATCAACTTATGCAAAAAATAAGGAATTTCAGCTCTTGTACGGAAAATCCGCTACGTAAGGGTTTGACGGATATAAAGATATCGAAAAACAGGCTGGAGTGAAGCTCGGTTGCCGTTTTTGCAACAAATTGCCGCAGTTATCTCGTTTTAAGCCTAAAGAGTTTTTATGGAAGTTTAAGAAGATGAAAAAATAACGACAAGTTTTGATTTCCCGTACCTAGTAAATGTTCTATTTCACTAAACTTTCAAACTGCCTAGGGACTAGTTCCAAACGGGAAAAATATTGAAAGAAATTTCTATTATAGTTCTTCAACTGTGCGAACAACCAAAGAATGCGTTTTTTGCACAAACATGTTTGGCTTTTAAAATATTTGAGACTCAATGAGTGGCCTTGGAGCCTAGCAACATTTTAAATTTACCCAAAAATCGCGCAGCCATATTTGAACTCAGTGGAACCTATTCTGCCAAAGATAATGTCACTAATTTTGTTTACGGTTCTGCAATGTACCGGACGTGGCTACCAGGGACAATATGGAAAAATTTGGTAGCGTCAGTCGAGTTTTTTGTTCCTATTGAATTTGAAAACTGCATTTTCAATTGTTTTAGGTGAACCATAGCCCAGTCGCTTGATACATACAATGTAAATCAGAGAAACAATTAAGAATCTCACCTGCCAGAAATTTGTGCCCTCGTCTTTAAGCTTCAAGACAGTAGCAGATTTAGGGGAGGAGGGGGGACACACTTCTCAGGGATTCTCCCCCTGATGATCCAAAATATCCCCCTTTTGGTATGCTTAAATACATCCATTTTGGCTGATCGATCCTTAATTTTTTTCAAAAGCGCTAAAATAAAAACTAATTTTGAAGGGAGTCCAAGTTTTTCAAGAAGTGCTTAAAGACGCTTTTTTTTCGGCCCGTACAAATAGGTTATTTATAGTGATTTGGCAGAGCTCGGAAAATCGATTTGGTTAACCAAGAAAAGGTACAAGACAACCGACAATGAATCTTTTAAAATATCGAGTATATTTTCAAGTGCAGTTTTCATTTTGAAAATACATACTAACAAGACTGCTCGTATCAGGGCGAAGCCCTGAATGATCCGACTGCCCTTTATTTGTTCTCATGCTAGAATTTGAGTAGAATTAAAACAGGTCTGCTCGTATTAGGGCAAATCCTGAATGTTCCGACTGCTTTTGAGGTCTATGGAGCAGTAATAGCATGAAAAAATTTAATGTAAAAAATTAATTGAAAATTTTTTTCTTCTAAATTTGCGACTTTTTGTGAAAATTATCCCACCACATTCCATCTATTATGACAATTCAGCTTCCTTCAATCAATTTGAAACGATTTTTAATGCAGATTCAGTCTCCGCTTCCGCGCTAATAGCTCGAAATATATCGCGCGTCAATTGCCCCAAATTAGCCAAAAAAGGCAATTTTAAACCCCCATAACTTGACAAAAAAATGATCACAGCTGAAATATTTATTGTTCCGACTTTCGATACGAAAGTAACGGAATATTTGTTCTCGGGGTGGGTTTTTTTTTTTCTTCAGAAAAATTTCGACTTTTTAACAAGCCATTTTTGACGGAATTTTTTTATATCATTCAAAAGGTATTGTTGTCCTGAGCTTAAATTTGAATGAATAGTTCACCTGTGATCATTTTTTGTAAAGTTATGGGGGTTTAAAGGTTGCCATTTTGGCCAATTTGGGACAATTAACGAGCGATATAATTCGCGCTATTAGCGCGTAAGCGGAGATTTAATCCGTCCTATAAATTGTTCCAAATTGGTTGAACGAAGCTTATTTGCCATAATTGATTTGTTACAAGGAACGAAATCTCTCTTTTTGTACTGTATATGGCGTGTGGGGGGATGGTTTTCATTAAAAATTTCAAATTTTAGAAAAAAAATTTCATTTTATTTTATTTCATTTTATTTTTTTATGTTATATTTTTTAAGTTTTCCTTACCGCAAATTAATCTAAACATAGATTGTATTGGAAAACAAAAATTCTAATCTCAATGTTTGTTTGAAATGCATAAACAAAGGGTTAACAAAATCTAATTTTAGATCTGAAACTTTGTTTTTCAAGGTTACTTCAAATTTGAAAGTTTCTACTGTATTTCAGATCCAAGTTTTAGATCTTAAATTTTCAACTCGTTATCAAGATTTGAAATAAAGATATTCAGGCCGGAGAATCAACTTATGCAAAAAATAAGGAATTTCAGCTCTTGTACGGAAAATCCGCTACGTAAGGGTTTGACGGATATAAAGATATCGAAAAACAGGCTGGAGTGAAGCTCGGTTGCCGTGTTTGCAATAAATTGCCGCAGTTATCTCGTTTTAAGCCTAAAGAGTTTTTATGGAAGTTTAAGAAGATCAAAAAATAACGACAAGTTTTGATTTCCCGTACCTAGTAATTGTTCTATTTCACTAAACTTTCAAACTGCCTAGGGACTAGTTCCAAACGAGAAAAATATTGAAAGAAATTTCGATTATAGTTCTTCAACTGTGCGAACAACCAAAGAATCCGTTTTTTGCACAAAAATGTTTGGCTTTTAAAATTTTTGAGACTCAATGATTGGCCTTGGAGCCTAGCAACATTTTAAGTTTACCCAAAAATCGCGCAGCCATATTTGAACTCAGTGGAACCTATTCTGCCAAAGATAATGTCACTAATTTTGTTTACGGTTCTGCAATGTACCGGACGTGGCTACCAGGGACAATATGGAAAAATTTGGTAGCGTCAGTCGAGTTTTTTGTTCCTATTGAATTTGAAAACTGCATTTTCAATTGTTTTAGGTGAACCATAGCCCAGTCGCTTGATACATACAATGTAAATCAGAGAAACAATTAAGAATCTCACCTGCCAGAAATTTGTGCCCTCGTCTTTAAGCTTCAAGACAGTAGCAGATTTAGGGGAGGAGGGGGGACACACTTCTCAGGGATTCTCCCCCTGATGATCCAAAATATCCCCCTTTTGGTATGCTTAAATACATCCATTTTGGCTGATCGATCCTTAATTTTTTTCAAAAGCGCTAAAATAAAAACTAATTTTGAAGGGAGTCCAAGTTTTTCAAGAAGTGCTTAAAGACGCTTTTTTTTCGGCCCGTACAAATAGGTTATTTATAGTGATTTGGCAGAGCTCGGAAAATCGATTTGGTTAACCAAGAAAAGGTACAAGACAACCGACAATGAATCTTTTAAAATATCGAGTATATTTTCAAGTGCAGTTTTC